GCCCTTTCACAAAGTCCATTCATCCAAGGAGACCGTGGACTTGAAAGGTCATGTTGAATTCCTTTCTCAGTCAGAAAAGCTTCAAACTGCTGAGAAGTGAATTCTCCCCCTCGATCTGTAAACAAACATTTCACTTGTTTATCATGCACATTTTTCAACCAAGCACAGAATTCCTTGAACCTAGGAAACGCTTCTGACTTCTGCTTGAGATTGAACACATAAATATACCTGGAATATGAATCAATGAGGACCATAAAGTACCTGGCTCCACCCAAAGAGGGTGTTAGTGAACCAACGAGATCAGCATGCACTACCTGGTATGGTTCTGCAGCTTGTCCCAGGGGAACTAAAGGAGGCAGTGGTGCGCCCGCTCTTAAAGAAAACATCATTAGATCCTTTAAAAGGTAAAGGTACCCCTGCCCGTACGGGCCAGTCTTGACAGACTCTAGGGTTGTGCGCTCATCTCACTCTAGAGGCCGGAAGCCAGCGCTGTCCGCAGACACTTCCGGGTCACATGGCCAGCGTGACGAAGCTGCTCTGGCGAACCGAGACCAGAGCAGCACACGGAACGCCGTTTACCTTCCCGCTATAAAGCGGTACCGATTTATCTACTTGCACTTAAGGGTGCTTTCGACTTGCTAGGTGGGCAGGAGCTGGGACCGAACGATGGGAGCTCACCCCACCGCGGGGATTGGAACCACCGGCCATGCGATCGGCAAGTCCTAGGCGCTGAGGTTTTACCCACAGCGCCACCCGCATCCCACCTGGTATGGTTCTGCAGCTTGTCCCAGGGGAACTGAAGGAGGCAGTGGTGCGCCCGCTCTTAAAGAAAACATCATTAGATCCTTTAGATCTATCCAATTACCGCCAGGTTTCGAAACTTCCTTTCCTGGGTAAGGTAATTGAGAGAGCGGTTGCTGAACAGCTTGGTGGGTTTCTGGATGAAACATCGCTCTGGATCCATTCCAGTCCGGCTTCCGCGCTGGTCATGGGACCGAGACGGCTCTGGTTGCCCTAACAGATGATCTTCGTAGACAGCTGGATCAAGGCGGGTCGGGGCTGCTGATTCTTCTAGATCTGTCAGCAGCTTTCGACATGGTCGATCACGAACTCCTGGACCACCGCCTTGCCGACGTGGGGATCCAGGGCACAGTCCTTCAAAGGCTGCGCTCGTTTCTCTCTGGTCGGGTACAGAGGGTGGCGCTTTGGAGTTAATTGTCATCGCGCCACTCCTTGGTGTGTGGAGTACCTCAGGGTGCGATACTCTCCCCAATGCTTTTCAACAACTTTATGCGCCCCCTCGCCCAGCTTGTCCGGAGTTTGGGGCTGGGTTGCCATCAGTATGCTGAACTCTATCTGTTGATGCATGGCCATCCTGACTCGGCCCCAGACACACTGACCAGATGTTTGGAAGCTGTGGCTGGATGGTTACGTGGGAGCCGGTTGAAGCTAAATCCTTCGAAGACAGAGGTCCTGTGGCTGGGACGGGACGATATGGGATTGGGGGGGCAATTCCCATCTCTTGCGGGGGCGCAATTAGTGCCAGCACCGTCTGTTAAGAGTTTGGGTGTAATCTTCGACACCTCCCTTTCCATGGAGGCGCAGATTGCAGCTATAACAAAGACGGCATTTTTCCATCTCCGCCAAGCTAAGCAGTTGGCTCCTTACCTCTCTCGCCCTGACCTAGCCACTGTGATCCACGCGACGGTCACCTCCAGACTGGATTATTGTAACTCGCTCTACGTGGGGCTGCCCCTGAGACTGACCCAGAAACTCCAGCGGGTGCAGAATGCAGCAGCGAGACTCCTTACGGGGTCTTCGCTGCGAGATCACATTCACCCGGTGCTATAGCAGCTGCACTGGCTCCCGGTGGAGTACAGGATCAGGTTTAAGGTGCTGGTTTTAACCTTTAAAGCCCTATACGGCCTATGACCCTCGTACCTACAGGACCGCCTCTCCTGGTATGTCCCACAGAGAAACTTACGGTCTTCAAATAAAAACATCTTGAAGGTCCCAGGCCACAGAGAAGTTAGGCTGGCCTCAACTAGAGCCAGGGCTTTTTTGGCTGTGGCTCCAATCTGGTGGAACACTCTGTCACAAGAGACTAGGGCCCTGCGGGACTTGACATCTTTCCGCAGGGCCTGCAAGACAGAGCTGTTCCACCAGGCCTGTGGCCAGGGCACAGCCTGACTCCCTCCCTCGGCAATCTTCGTGGAGCTCTGGCCCAATGGTTGCCAGTGGCTTGATTTGAATTAATTTTATAATGAATGATTTTAGAGTGTTGTGTTGCGTTGTACTTTTGCACTGTTTTATTGTTGTTAGCCGCCCAGAGCCCGGCTTCGGCTGGGGAGGGCGGGATATAAATAAAAATTATTTATTTATTTATTTATTTATTATTATTGTTGTTGTTGTTGTTGTCTACTAGACACCTTACCTTTTGCAGCCATTTTGACCTGGTCCAATGGCTGGGCCAGAATGATTTTGGTTCGATTTGCCAGCTCCCAGCTCCTCATGGGGCGCAATAGTGACCTGTAGCTGCCATCAGGAGTCCTGGTGTGATCCTGGACACTTCTGTCTCTATGTGTAGCCTTCTTAGACTTTACCGACTGGTGGGGTCTGCGTTGCTCCCGGGAGGGAGAAAGGAAGTCAAATGACACCGAGGTTGATTCAGAGAAAGAGTTTCTTCTGCTCTCCAGATAGCAGAAGGCACTTGCGTGGTTAGTTCACAGCAAGAACACTTAAAGAGCGGTTACACACAGCTTATATACCCTTTCTGGTCCCCTTGCCTCCTCCCCAGGAATCCAGCCACATCAGCTTATACACGTAAGTTGACATCCATGACCATAAGCAGATGTTCCTGTTCCTGTACTCTTGACCATAAAAGGATGTTCCTGTTCCTGTATTCCTTATCTTGGGGTAAGAAGGTCACCAACTCTAATAGCACTCCTGGCGCCATCCCCGAGCGCGGGGGTGTCTTGCAAGGTCTGTGCGTCAGTGTGTCAGGATATTTACAACCCACAAGATAAGATAAGCCCCAGCTCTGCCATCCTGTCTCCACTTCGGAACTGACAAGGCCATCCACTAAGCATCAGGACTGATAAAGGAGAGGGCTTTGTTTATACAGCTGGGTTCCTGTTATACATTTGCTCAAGTGCTCAAGTTAATGGTTTTTAGCTAATGCACCCTTGGAGATGGAAAAATGGGGATTTTGGGGCCCGTTTCAGACTGACTGCACAGTCAGATTTTAGATTTAGGAAACCCATACCTTTATATGGAGGCACTGATCACAAATGTAGCCAAACTGGCATTTTTTAATCTATGTCAGGTTAGGCGATTGATACTGTACCTGTCCCTTTCCAACCTAGCCATGGTCATCCATGCAGCAGTCTCCTGCAGACTAGACTACTTTAACTCTATGCCTGAGCCGGGGACGGCAGGGTATAAATGTGATAGATAGATAGAGAGAGAGAGAGAGAGAGAGAGAGATACGCAGGGCTACCCTTGAGACTGCTCCAGGAACTTCAAATGGTCTAAAATGCAGATGCATGAGTTCTTACTTGGACTTTGTGGAGAGCCCACATTCAGTTGGTTGTTCATCAGCTGGATTGGCTCCAGGTGAAGTATTGAATCAAGTTCAAGGTTTTGGTGCTAACCTTTAAAGCCCTAAACAGTCTGTGACCTTTCTTATCTTCCAATACCCCCCCCAAGAGTGTGACGTGCATCTAACAGCAACCTACTGGTGGTCCCTGGCCCAAAACATATCTAGCTGTCCTCAGCCAGAGCCGGAGCCTTTTTGGTGGAACTTTTTGTCTAATGAGACCAGGGCTCAGTGCAATCTATCTCAGTTCTCTCACTCACTGGATCATCACATTGTCATGGTGAGTGGGCTTGCACATTCCTATGACCCTTGTGAGCAAAGCTGTCAGGAATCTCATACTCCCAGCAGGGTCACCCAAGGCGGTAATGTCAAAGAAAATGAAATATACTCGGAGTCCTGTAGTGATTTCATGCTCTTTATTGCAGCTTGTAAAACTGATTTAATTTCCCCCCAAACCTCAGGCTTTTATATACATTATTTACACAATGAGTCCCATGTGACTGGCTGATTCTGCTTCCCTCCTGGAGCCTGATTGGTCTTTTCCTGCAAGCCAATCAGTTGTTGCATTCTAGGATCCTACTTGCCTATTGTTCTAGGATCCAAGCTTAGTACATAACAGGGAAGGAACTAGACAAAGAATGATCCAAGAAGTCCTCAACGGCAGAACAGGCGGATGATAACAAGCGGTGTGTTACAACGGCTGTGAAGGCGGATGAAGGCTGCAGCAGATAGGATCCACCAGTTCGTCTTGACTACTCATGCCATCAGAACAGAGCCCTACTGCGAAGACTGTGCGTTGCTCAGCGTACACACATAAAACAAATTCATGCACAGGCGTCTTCCAAAAACCCAACCCAAACCCCCAAAGTGCCATGGTGATCAGCAAATGGTTACGGGGGCAGGATTGTGAAATCTGTAAGCCCCTAGTCATGAACTGGCACATGGGCGGTGGATACAGATTCAGTCGTTCTGACTCAAGGAACGAGGCAGTTGAGCAGCTCAGCAGCTGTATCCATGACTGAGCAGCCCTTTTTAGGATCCACTCTGTTCACCCTGAAAAGGGGGAGGGGCTGGAAAAGGTGCCCTAAACATAGTCTGCCTCCCTTTTCCCCTGACTGGATTACTGCGCCTAGTGGGGTCACCACCCAGCGGTCGTAAAAGACAATTGAACTTTGGAACATGGAATATATGGACTTCGTTGAATAACACAGACAGCGAATGTCCTAAACTCAGAACTGCCATCATTGCAAGAGACCTGTGACGTTTTAACATCGATATTGCAGTGCTTCAAGACTCTCAAAGAGCAGGTGAGGGACAACTGAAGGAAGAAAAAGGAGGCTACACATTCTTCTGGAAAGGTCTATCTGAACAAGAACATTGAATACATGGGGTAGGCTTCGCTATGAAAAACGACCTTGTGAAGCTCCTGTCAGAAGTCCCTACTGGCATTAATGAGCGGCTCTCAACCCTTCGAATAAAGCTCACCAAAAACCAACAGGCTACTATTATAAGCGCTTATGCACCAACACTGGATGCCGATGAAGACATTAAAGAAATTTTTTACTGTCAGCTGGATGCCATCCTATCAGAGACGCCTAAGGAAGATAAAATTATCCTCCTGGGTGATTTTAATGCAAGAGTTGGGGGAGATTTTGATCTGTGGCCTGGGACTATTGGGAAAGAAGGAGTTGGCAACAGCAACCAGAACGGAATCTTACTTTTGACGATATGTGCAGCGCACAACCTTATTACCAAAACACTCTTTTGACAGAAAAATAAATTTAAAACTTCATGGAGGCATCCTCGGTCAAACCACTGGCACCTCTTAGACGATGTTATTGTCCGTGCTAAAGATCAACGTGATGTGCTCCTTACCAGAGCTATGACGAGCGCCAACGACTGCTGGACAGATCACCAACTAATACGCGCCATGATGGCTATCAAGATTATACCTCAGTGCAGGCTTCAGGGAAGAAAACCAAGCCGCAAAATGAACACTCAAGCCCTTCAAGATCCCATTAAGCGGGATTGCTTCCAAACAACTCTTAAGGACCATCTGCTTTCAGAATTCCCTGATAACATCAAGGAACACTGGACCAAGCTAAAAACATCCATTATTGCAGTCTGTGAACAAACTATTAGATACCAAACCAAGAAACACCAGGACTGGTTTGATGAGAATGACAGTGAGATTGAACGCACGATTGACAAGAAAAGGAAGGCATTTCAGATCTGGCAATGAGATAGAAACTGTGCTACTAAGAAAAAAAACCTATGCCAATGCTAAGAACAAGAGAACTAAAAAACACCTCATGGATAAGAAAAAGCTCAAGAGATCCAGCACTTAGCCGACACTCATGATGCACAGAGTTTCTTTAAAGCCACAAAGACTATAGACCAATAAATCATGGCATATGCCCCCTATGCTCAGCAGATGGTACCACACTTCTAAAAGATAAAGAAGCTATTGCACTGTGCTGGAAAGGACACTACCAACATCTCCTTAACCGCAACTCCCCCATAGCTGCTGAGGTCCTCTCACAAATCCCGCAAAAACAAATTAGAGATGAGCTTGCAGTATCTCCATATCTGGGAGAGTTGTATACAGCTATTAACCAAGTGAAAAACAACAAAGCCAGTGGACCTGATGGGATACCTGCTGAAATCTTCAAAGTGGGTGGAATTGAACTTACACAACAACTTCACAAGCTCATTGAAAAAATCTGGGAGAGAGAAGCGATCCCAGTAGACTTCAGGGATGCCAAAATTATCAATCTCTTTAAAAAGGTGACAGAACTGATTGCAGAAACTATCGAGGCATCTCTCTATTAGCTGTGGTTGGTAAAATTCTTGCAAGGATCTTAGCAAACTGTCTCTTAACAATATCCGAGGTGATTCTAGGGGGACAGTGGACATGATTTTCACTGCTCAACAACTTCAGGAAAAATGCAGAGAGCAAAGCAAAACCAACCCCTGTATATGGTGTTTATCGACCTGACTAAGGCTTTAGACACTGTAAATTGTAATGCCCTGTGGACTGTCCTTCTGAAAATTGGCTGCCCAGATGAATTTGTAAATATATTTTGGCTCCTCCATGATAATATGACAGCAACAATCACAGATAACAATGGCTCCCAAAGTGAACCATTCACAGTGGGATCAGGTGTTAAACAGGGTTGTGTTATTGCCCCAACTCTATTCATTATTTTCATTGCCATGATCCTACACCTTGTTGAAAGGCATCTCCCCACCAGAGTAGAAATCATATATTGAACAGATGGAAAGCTCTTCAATCTGAGCAGGCTGAAAGCAAAGAGTAAGGTTACCGTAACTTCCATCATAGAGCTTCAGTATGCTGATGACAAAGACTCTCCTCCCTGCAAGAGAGGGGAGTGGTTGTGGTCGGGAGCCGGACTCCGCCTCAAGCAGGGGGCATTTGCCCCCTGCCTCCCACCCACCTGGCTGGTGCCCACGCCCTCGGCCAGGCACCCAACCAGGTGCCTTCAAGGGGGTGTGTACAGCAGCCTGAATTGCTGCGGCGACAGCCTCCAGCCCTCACTTTTGTCGTCCCGTCGCGAGTCAACAGGTCTAACCTCCTTGCTGTCTGCAGAAGCCAGGGAAGTATTTCGCAAGGCTTAGAGTGGGGGGGGGGGGGGCTATCGGAGCTAATTCCTTGTGATTGGAGTACTGGGAGAGTTTGGATCTTTGCTTGGATGTAAATTGCTTCAGTTTACTTTTCGTTGGGCTAACTTCCCTATTTCCCCCCACTTCTGGTGTTCGGTTTAATTTCAGGGTTGTTAAGCGCACGCACGCGCGCGCGCACACACACACACACGCGCACACACACACACACACACAGAGAGAGTATCCTTTTCTGGCTAGGGGGGAGTGTGTGTCTACTTGTGATCCCCTGCGCCCCGCTGCAGCAGAGTTACTAATATTACCGCAAACCGGCTTAACCCCTTATTTTATTACCTTACCCTCCGTTTGCCTTAGCCCACGTGGCCGCTACCTTTTATCCGCCAGCTACTTTTAAGCCTCCCGCCAAACAGCTGATGGGAGCAATTTAAACAGCTGTTTTGGCAGTAATTCTCCAGAGTTGCTGTAGGCAGCGGGACATTTGTTGGGGCTCCCCAGGGGGTTCCCCCCCCCCCGAGTTGCGGCCTACAGCGAGCGGGGCTCATGTTGCTTGGGTTCGCCGTTGCTTTCTTGCGACGAAAAACCACTGTTAAATTTCAGTTCTTCAACCCCCCCCCCATTTGCTCCTCCTGCGTCCGTGATTTAAAAAACAAAACAAAACGCTTGCTTCTCCCCCTTCTCCCCCTCCCCGCCGTGGCTTTAACAAAGCAGTGAGAGCACGGGGAGTGTTGTGGGAGCGCGTGCTGGGCTGCCTGCTGTCTATATTCTTGCCGTTCAGGTCGTCTAACCCCCACCCGTGAAATTTTAGGAATCTGTCTTAGTGGTTTTATACTCTCGGTACTGAAGCTGTATTCAGCTCTTGCCTCATCTGGGGCTGAGGATAAGTGCGATTCAGAGCGTAGCGACTTTCCACCAGCCTCTCTTTTTCTTTTTAAATGGTATTTTGTTGAAGGGCTTCGCCTAGCCAGGCTGCTTCTGCTCCTTGGAGCTTCTTTAACTAAAAAATCCTGTCACCCCCCCTGCCACATTCCCCCCTTCCTCTCTTAATTCCCCCCCCCCCTCTTTTTTCTTTCATTTATTTCATTTTGTTAAAAAACTCAGTCCCCCCCTTGCTTTGAGTAAAAGGTCGGCATTTATTTCCTGTTTTCCGTAGAAGCGCTGTTGTTGCTGCCGACCAGCAGGTAACTTAGTAGCTAACGAGCGATAGTTAAGGACATTGTTCTTCAGCCTTCCCATTTGTAAAGAGTTCCCTGCAGCTGCATTCTCAGGGTTACCCTTTGTCTCTGGTGGCATAAGTGATAGGCAGAGCGTTTTGGTCTGCCTTTCAGTTATCTAGCTAAGGGGTATTGGGAAAGAAAGATTGAGCTTTGTCCTGTGTGTGTGCTGAACACTTCCCCGGCTCCTTACCACCCCCCTCTAGTTCGTTACTGAGAGCCACTGGGCTACTGCCTAGAACATATATCTAAGGCTGGTGGCACGTTTGAACAGACAGTGCTAGAGTGAGCGTGTTTCCTCTTCAATCCGCTCCCTCCTCTTACATTTTGAGTGCCAACTGGGGCACTAGTGTGCGTGATTCCCTATGCGTGTGTGGCTACTGTGTGGTGTTACCGGAAAATCCGAGGGCTCCCTTGGACAAATCAATAATCCAGGGGCTTGCTTTGGGGGATAGAAGCATACAAGCAGATCCTTGTGAATCTCGCTAAAGCAGATAGCCCTAGGAGTTACGCCTGAGCCTTCTGCGGGCAGCAGACGACGTCCCATATTGTTTTAAATAAGAATGCCGCCCCCTTTTGAGTCGCGCTAAAGCATGAGCCTTTCCCTGCCGGTTTTGACTCAACATGTGGGCTGCGTTTAGTGAGTTATAACGGGCAGCCGGTCTACTAGCTATCTCCTTGTTAGCCTGCCTTGTGCCTTATATTCAGCAGCCTTTTTACCCGCTTTCTGTTTCTGGCGTTGAGCCTTATTTCCTGATTCCCCCCCCCCCCCTCAGTCCCTGTCTTAAACTCTGCTCTGCGCAATTCATAAGGATTCTCTTTTAAGTTTCCCCTTCGTGTAGTCCCTTACTTTTACATTTCGCTTGCGATCCAACCCGCCCCCCTCCCCCCAGGCTTCAGAAGAGTTTTATTTCCTTCTTACAGTCTGACTCATTCTGCTGCCTGTCTTAAGAAATCGCTTCACAATTGTCCCGGCTTCCAGGCAGGATACATTGTCGCTTAAAGACAGGCAGTTCGTGGTACATTGTTAATTCAGGTACCTGGCGGATGGCCAATCAAGGATACATTGTCTGTGGCAGCATTTTCCTTCTGCTGGGCCTCCAGCATAACCTTTTGTTTTTCGAAGTGTTAGTTAAAGGGACATTTCCCAGAGAGCTATTTTCTTTGATCCCATTTGATTGCAGTGTGGGGGCTGCCTATTGTTCCATCCCTATATGCTTGTGAGTTATTTAGCTGTGTCTATCTGCCTGACCCTTTGCTTGGTGGCAAATAAATAAATTTATAGGCAAATACAAACCAAACAGTCAAGTGAAGAATAATTATTTCATATCATCATTAGTTATGGTAGACAATTGATAGCATCATCAATTAATTCTACTTACGGTGGTAATTAATTGAACAAATAATACTGGAATAGATTGTAATAAATAACAATAACAATAAATAATAGAAAAATAACAACAACAAATAAATAAATGAATAAAAACGAATAGATAAATAATAGAATAAAAATACTACTAATAATAAATAAAATAAGTGGATAAAAAAAAACTAAAAAAAACAAAAAACTAATAATAAATAAATAATGATAAATATACATTATTATAATAATAAAAGAGAATAAGTGGAATGACATCACATACCAAGATTAAATTGATTAATTAATTAAACAAATCTATAGATAAATATATAAATAAAAAAATAAAATAAAATAAAATAAAATTCATTAATAATAAATAATTTACATATATTTCGGAACCCGCAGTTGGTTAGAGCGTGGTGACAATAACGCCAAAGTTGCAGGTTTGATCCCTGTATGGAACAATTACATATTCCTGCTTTGCAAGGGGTTGGACTAAATGACCCTCGGGGTCCTATACAATTCTAGAGAGACTGGATAGCTCAACTGGTTAGA